AAACAAATGGGCAGAGTTTTTTCACCCCTGATACACCTGTTCACCTAGCAGTAAGTAGGTACCTGGGAATTAGACAGCTGTTACGGGCTGCTTCCTGAGGATGTGTGTGTGTGTTCATCTAGCTGTATTCACTTAGATGTGCTTGCCGGGGTTGAGCTCTGACTCTTTGGTCCCGCCTCTCAACTGTCAATCAACTGGTGTACAGGTTCCTGAGCCTACTGGGCTCTGTCATATCTACATTTGAAACTGTGTATGGAGTTAGCCTCCACCACATCACTACCTAATGCATTCCATCTGTTAACTACTCTGAAAAAGTTCTTTCTAATGTCCCTCATTTTGGTACTCAGTTTCAACCTGTGTCCTCTTGTTCGCGTACCACCCGTGTTAAACAGTTTAACTTTATCTACCCTATCAATTCCTCTGAGAATTTTGTAGGTAGTGATTATGTCTCCCCTTACTCTCCTTTTTTCCAGTATCGTGAGGTGCATTTCTCGCAGCCTTTCCTCGTGACTCTTGCCTCTTATTTCTAGGACTAGCCTAGTGGCATACCTCTGAACTTTTTCCAGCTTTGCCTTGTGCTTGACAAGGTACGGGCTCCATGCTGGGGCCCCATACTCCAGGATTGATCTTACATATGTGGTCTACAAGGTTCTGAATGATTCCTTGCAGAGGTTCCTGAAGGCAGTTCTGATGTTAGCCAACCTTGCATACGCCGCAGATGTTATTCTTTTCATGTGGGCTTCAGGAGACAGGTTTGGTGTGATATCAACTCCTAGATCTTTCTCTCTGTTCGTTTCATGAAGGACTTCATGTCCCATTTTGTATCCTGTGTCTGGCCTCCTGTTTCCATCGCCTAGTTTCATTACCTTACATTTACTCGGGTTGAACTTTAGTAGCTATTTGTTGAACCATTCATTCAGTTTGTTTAGGTCATCTTGTAGCCTCATACTTCAAGATGTAGTCTCATACTACATACTAGAAGATGAGTATGTAGCTTTATACTCGGATGTGTGTGTTTGTACTCACCTAGTTGTGCTTGCGGGGGTTGAGCTTTGGCTCTTTGGTTCCGCCTCTCAACTGTCAATCAACTGATGTACAGATTCCTGAGCCTACTGGGCTCTATCATATCTATATTTGAAACTGTGTATGGAGTCAGCCTCCACCTCATCACTGCCTAATGCATTCCATTTACTAACTACTCTGAAACTGAAAAAGTTCTTTCTAATGTCTCTGTGGCTCATGTGGGTACTCAGCTTCCACCTGTATCTCCTTATGCGTGTATCACCCGTGTTATATAATCCATCCTGATCTACCCTGTCAATTCCCCCTGAGAATATTGTATGTGATGATCATGTCTCCCCGTGCTCTTCTGTCTTCCAACGACGCTAGGTGCAGTTCACGCGGCATTTCCTCGTAACTCATGCCTCTTAGTTCTGGGACTAGCCTAGTGGCATAGCTCTGAACTTTTTCCAGCTTCGTCTTGTGCTTGACTAGATACGGGCTCCATGCTGGGGGGCCGCATACCCGCATACTCCAAGATTGACCTTACATTTTTGGTGTACAAGGTTCCTTGTATACCTTGAGGTATACAACTTTTCTGTGTGTGTGGACAAAAATAGTTAGTAGTTAATAACAGTTGAGAGGCGGGCCGAAAGAGCAGAGCTCAACCCCCGCAAGCACAACTAGGTGAATACACACACTCCTTACCTAAGTGAGGAGGCATTTAGGGCGCTTTACACTGCCTACGTGAGGCCAGTCTTAGAGTATGCCGCGCCATCATGGAGCCCCCACCTGAAGAAACACATAAGTTTAGTTTAGTTCATTTATTATGCACTCCATACACTTCTTGTGGGCGGTAGTGGAAAGGGTTACAGAGGCACATAATGGGCTCAGGGACTGAACCCCACAATTCATTTAGCTGAGCAAGTTACAATCTTGATGAGCTAGTTACAAAATTCAGTATAAGTCGTCACATCATGAATGGGTTCGAGATCGAACACAAGTACAGTTTCTAAATTAAGCAACTGACATATGTGGAGAGCTAGTGTTACAATTGATATGTTTGTCCTGCACACCGCCCCCCATCCAGTGGGCAGCGGTGGATAGGTTACAATCACTTAGTTGCTACCTACAGTTAGCAAACTGGGAATATTTGGCTAAAATTTCTGGTAGCAGATAATTTTGAATGAAATATTTACACATCAATGGAATATTCGTTATAGAATTGTCTCTGAATTCACGTATCGTTTCGCACTCCATCACATAGTGACGGAGGGTGTGCGAATAATTTTGTTGACACAGTCTACATTTGGTCAGGTCCACATCAGCAGATAATGAGAATTCCCAGAGATACTTGTATCCGAGTCTAAGCCGAACAGTAGTAACATCTAGAAGTCTGCTGATTTTATTGGATGATCCATAAGTGTGTGGCTCCTCTTGCATGATAATATGTCACACAAGGAAACTGGAAAAGGTTCGTTAGTTTGCAACGAGACTTGTCCCAGCGTTACGATGGATGGCGTATGAAGAGCGCCTGAAGGAACTGAGCCTTACGACAGTAGAAAAAAGAAGGGAGAGGGGGGATATGATAGGAACGTATAAAATACTCGGGGGAATTGACAGAGTGGAAATAGACGAAATGTTCATACGGAATAATAACAGAACGAGGGGACATGGGTGGAAGCTGGAAACTCAGATGAGTCACAGAGATGTTAGAAAGCTTTCTTTTAGCGTGAGAGTAGCGATAAAATGGAATGCACTTAAGGAGAAGGTTATGGAAGCAAATTCTATTCATAATTTTAAAACTAGGTATGATAGGGAAATGGGACAGGAGTCATTGCTGTTAACAATCGATGGCTCGAAAGGCGGGATCCAAGAGTCAACGCTCGATCCTGCAAGCACAAATAGGTGAGTACAAATAGGTGAATACACACACACACACACACACTAATACTGGAATGAGCCTCGTGGCAAACCTGTATACCTTTTCATGTTTCCACAAAGAAGACACAAATGAGAGAGAGAGAGAGAGAGAGAGAGAGAGAGAGAGAGAGAGAGAGAGAGAGAGAGAGAGAGAGAGAGAGAGAGAGAGAGAGAGAGAGAGAGAGAGAGAGAGAGAGAGAGAGAGAGAGAGAGAGAGAGAGAGAGAGAGAGAGAGAGAGAGAGAGAGAGAGACAGACAGACAGACAGACAGAGAAAATTGAGACATAAAATATTTACGGGTATCAACACAGTGGAAATATATGAAATTTTCACAATTAAACCCGAGCCATGAGCCCGATGAAACAGAGATGCGAAAACATTTTCCTAGCACAAGAATTTTACCAGAATAGAGTGAATTAAACGAGTAAAGACTACATTCTTCGCTTTAAAAGTAAATAAGATCAACTTGGGGCGGGAGACTTTGCATTTTGATGAGTTCGAGATGAGTGCGGTTCGACCGTGGATGCACTTACAGTCTGTGTTTGTACGTACACAGAGGAGCCGGTCTGTGTACAAAGCGAGTGTAGCACTGTGCCGTGTGTAGTGCTGTACCACAATGGTTGCTTCCGCTATATTTAGCCACATGAACCCCAGTGTGTGTGTGTGTGTGTGTGTGTGTGTGTGTGTGTGTGTGTGTGTGTGTGTGTATGTGTGTGTGTGTGTGTATACTCACCTATTTGTGTCTGCAGGATCGAACATTGACTCTTGGATCCCTCCTTTCGAGCATCGGTTGTTTACAGCAATGACTCCTGTCCTATTTCCCTATCATATCTAGTTTTAAAATTATGACTAGAATTTGCTTCCACAACCTGTTCCTTAAGTGCATTCCATTTTTCCACTACTCTCATGCTAAAAGAAAACTTCCCAACATCTCTGACTCATCTGAGTTTCCAGCTTCCACTTATGTCCCCTCGTTCTGTTACTATTACTATTCCGTGTGAACATTTCGTGTATGTCCAGGCCTCCTGTTTCCACTGCCTAGTTTCATTACTTTGCATTTACTCGGGTTGAACTTCAACAGCCATTTGTTGGACCATTCACTCTGTCTAGGTCATCTTGTAGCCTCCTGCTATCATCCTCTGTTTCAATCCTTCTCATAATCTTTGCATCATCAGCAAACATTGAGAGAAACGAGTCTATACCCTCTGGGAGATCATTTACATATATCAGAAACAGTGTAGGTCCAAGGACTGACCCCTGCGGGACTCCACTTGTAACGTCTCGCCAATCTGAGACCTCACCCCTCACACTGACCCGTTGTCTCCTGTTGCTTAGATACTCCTTTATCCAATGGAGTACCTTCCCTTTCACTCCAGCCTGCATCTCCAGCATTTTCACTAGCCTCTTGTGTGGTACTGTATCAAAGGCTTTCTGGCAATCCAAAAATATGCAGTCTGCCCACCCTTCTCTTTCTTGCCTGATTTTTGTTGCCTGGTCGTAGAATTCAAGTAACCCTGTGAGGCAGGACCTGCCATCCCTGAACCCATGTTGATGCTGTGTTACGAAGTTCTTTCGCTCCAGATGTTCCACTAGCTTTCTTTGCACAATCAGCTTGCATGGTATGCAGGTTAGGGACACTGGCCTGTAGTTCAGTGCCTCCTGTCTATCCCCTTACTTGTATATCGGAACTACGTTAGCTGCTTTCCAAATTTCTGGCAGTTCCCCTGTTGCCAGTGATTTGTTATAAACTATGGAGAGTGGTAGGCACAGTTCTTCTGCTCCTTCCTTTAGTATCCAAGGGAAGATTCCATCTGGGCCTATGGCCTTTGTCACATCCAGCTTTAGTAAACACTTCCTTACTTCCCCGCTGGTAATCTCAAACTCTTCCAGTGGTTCCTGGTTAGCTATTCCCTCTCTTATCTCTGGAATTTCTCCTTGCTCTAAGGTGAAGACCTCCTGGAATTTCTGTGTGTGTGTGTGTGTGTTCATGCACTGCAGAACTACTTACCTAATAGTGCATGTAGGGATAGTGCTCACGTTCCTTGCTGGGTTTAGGCGTTAGCTCCTGGGCTTCGACCAGTATTAGTTGTTTCAATGAAAGAACGGCTTCTCTTGTTCTCGTTCTCCCGTATATATAATATATATACTTGTATACACAGTTGGGTGGCCTTCCATGTCGATCTCTTCACCACTCTCTGTCATAGTCCTTCTGATATCTCTGATGATCATGAATGGTTGTTTATGTGTAAATTAACCTTCATGTTCCTCTCATCTGTTGTTCCTCATGATTATGAATCATCATTCTGCTGTTCATCACTTCCGTTCGTGTCTCCTTGTTCTAACCCAACCTATCCCAACCCAGCCAAATGTAACCTAACCTATCCCAACCTGGCCGAACCTATCCCAACCTAACTTAACCTATTTTACCCCACTAACGTAACCTTACCTAATCTACCCAGCCCTAACCTAACCTGCCCGAACCAAACTAACAAAATGAGAGCAAATGCTGTGATTTATACATGGTCTGAACAGGATGAGTGACGTCACTATGACGTCACAGTGTTGCTTCCGGAACAGGTGCTGGACCGTACCTGCGTACCTGTTGTTTTCCCACTCACCCCTCACTCACCCTCACTCATCCCTCACTCACCCCTCACTCATCCCTCACTCATCCCTCACTCACCCCTCACTCACCCCTCACTCACCCCTCACTCACCCCCCACTCACCCCTCACTCACCGTCACTCACCCTCACTCGTGTGAGTCGCTTCGAATGTGTCTCATTCTTCTTTTATCCTTAGTCCCTCCATCTGTGTCTCACCCCTCACAACAATGTTATACAATGAGAAACGACGACGTTTCACAACATTGAGAAACACAACACAACGTTCTACGACACCCAGAAAGATAACACAACGTTCTACGACACCCAGAAAGATAACACAACGTTCTACGACACCCAGAAAGATAACACAACGTTCTACGACACCCAGAAAGATAACACAACGTTCTACGACACCCAGAAAGATAACACAACGTTCTACGACACCCAGAAAGATAACACAACGTTCTACGACACCCAGAAAGATAACACAACGTTCTACGACACCCAGAAAGATAACACAACGTTCTACGACACCCAGAAAGATAACACAACGTTCTACGACACCCAGAAAGATAACACAACGTTCTACGACACCCAGAAAGATAACACAACGTTCTACAACACTGATAAACACAACACAACGTTCTACAACACCCAGAAACAAAAGATAACGTTCTACAACACCCAGAAAGATAACACAACGTTCTACAACACTGATAAACACAACACAACGTTCTACAACACCCAGAAACAAAAGATAACGTTCTACAACACCCAGAAAGATAACACAACGTTCTACGACACCTAGAAAGATAACGCAACGTTCTACAACACCCAGAAAGATAACACAACGTTCTACAATACCCAGAAAGATAACACAACGTTCTACGACACCCAGAAAGACAACACAACGTTCTGCGACACCCAGAAAGATAACGCAACGTTCTACAACACCCAGAAAGATAACACAACGTTCTACAACACCCAGAAAGATAACACAACGTTCTACAACAATGATAAACACAACACAACGTTCTACAACACCGAGAAACACAACACAACGTTCTACAACACCGAGAAACACAACACAACGTTCTACAACCACTTATAAACACAACACAACGTTCTACAAGACCGACACAACGCCTTAAGATAGCAAAAACAGCGAAAGACGAAAATTTGGCACGGGGGAAGATAGGGCGATGTGCAATAATAGAGATCAGGAGACACCTGAGCGTGGCGGGGTAGTAAACTATCAGAGCTGTGAGGCGCGGCACCCCTTCCACCCCTCTCTCTCTATCCCGCAATCAACCCCTCCCCCCCTCACACTCCGCTCTTCCATCCCCCACCCACCTTCTCCTCCTCCTCCAAAACATCGTACCCTGCCTCTCTGCATTATACTCCCATCAGTGTAAAACAAATGTATAACACTGACCTGCGTTCGGGAGCATCCCAGACACTGCCTTAATCGACTGAGCTACGACAGGGTTAAAAGGGTTGAAACCGAAGTTCTACTGAACTTACTGGATCCCGTAGTCTCTCCGAGGCACAAACCATGTGGATAACATTAGAAGCTATTGACAGTCATCTTCAAAATCTCCAACCGACTGAATCCTATGCCTTTACTGATGGCTCTGTGCAGTTAGGCACTGGTAGAACAGGTTGTACATGTGCAGTATATAAAGGGAATGAAATGATCATGTCTAGTACACAGAGATTGAACAACTGGGCAAGCACGACACAGACCGAACTATTGGGTATTTATCTAGCCACTGAATACCTTAAGCACAATGGTGGTGGAGTGATATTCTGCGACTCTACAAGAGCTCTACAGTCCTTAAATAACCCATCACAATGTATGTCTGAAGTAGCTTGTAATATTAAATGGAATGTAATTTTTGCCAATGATAATAACTCTTGTATAAAATTTGTGTGGATCCCATCCCATGTTGGAGTTGGAAAACATGACTTTGTAGATCAATTGGCCAATGAGGCTTGCAGGAAAGAAAACACTGATTATGACTTTGGACTATCTAATGCAATGCAGGTGATGAGTCAAAATAACGTGGCTAAAGTATGTTGACCAGACCACACACTAGAAGGTGAAGGGACGACGACGTTTTGGTCATTCCTGGACCATTCTAGAGTCGATTGTGACAATCGACTTGAGAATGGTCCAGGACGGACCGAAACGTCGTCGTCGTCCCTTCACCTTCTAGTGTGTAGTCTGGTCAAAATATCTAATGCAATTATTAGAAACATACAAATTAAATAAATTAATTCAGATTTAGAAGAACTAAGAAATGCCCAGAGACCTGAAAGTTGCAGTATTAAAAGTTATGACAAGTTTTGTAATAATAAGTATTTGTATGGTCAGCACAGTAACCGGACCAGGCAATGTGATGTAGTCATTGTGGTAATTCGCCTTGACTATAGGCACATCTGGCAGGTTAGTGAAGCTGAGCCACTACCAGAATACTCAGATTGTAAACTCTGTGATAAACCTTTAATGCACTCACTAGAACACTATATTAATGAATGTGAAACCGTAAAGGACTTTAGATCCCCAGGCCTCTTGTACCACCAACTGTGTAACTATTTTATTGACTCAGGTTTTCTGGACGACATCCTAACAATTTACCCAAAATTTGTTTGTCCATTTCAAAGAATGAAGAATTTTTTTTATTTATATTCCTTCTAAGCTGCATCACTTATGAACCCATCCCTGCCCTTGTGTGGCAGTGCACATCCCTGCCCTTGTGTGGCAGTGCACAGTAGAAAGTTGTTTTCACATATCCACACATTAAAACATTGATTGTAACCGTGATATATATGTGCTTCAGCCTACAGTTTAGACCTATTGTCTTATGTATGACCCTCTGTCCTGCGTGACAGTGAATACCAGCATTATCCTCACTTTAATAAGACTTAATTGAAATCCTCAGATTAGGCAAAATTGTAATTAATTTTGTCAACAAAGATGTTAATAATAATAACAATATGCTGGGGCTGCATACTTCAGGATTGGCCTGACATATGTGGTATACAAAGTTCTGAATAATTCCTTACACAAGTCTCTGAATGCCCTTCTTATGTTAACCAGGCTGGCATATGCCGCTGATGTTATCCTCTTGATATGGGCTGCAGGGGACAGGTCTGGCGTGATGTCAACCCCCAGGTCTTTTTCTTTCTCTGACTCTTGAAGAACTTCATCTCCCAGATGATACCTAGTATCTGGCCTCCTGCTCCCTACACCTATCTTCATTACATTGCATTTGCTTGGGTTAAACTCTAACAACCATTTGTTCAACCATTCCTTCAGCTTGTCTAGGTCTTCTTGAAGCCTCAAGCAGTCCTCCTCTGTCTTAATCCTTCTCATAATTTTGGTATCGTCAGCAAACATTGAGAGAAATGAGTCTATACCTTCCGGGAGATCATTTGCATATATCAGAAACAAGATAGGACCGAGTACAGAGCCCTGTGGGACTCCACTGGTGACTTCACGCCAATCTGAGGTCTCACCCCTCACCGTAACTCTCTGCTTCCTATTGCTTAGGTATTCCCTTATCCACTGGAGCACCTTACCAGCTACACCTGCCTGTCTCTCCAGCTTATGTACCAGCCTCTTATGCGGTACTGTGTCAAAGGCTTTCCGACAATCCAAGAAAATGCAGTCCGCCCAGCCCTCTCTTTCTTGCTGTGTGTTTGTGTGTGTGGGTGTGGGTGTGGGTGTGGGTGTGGGTGTGTGGGTGTGGGTGTATTTTGTTCTCGCCTTTTTAGCTGTCGGTTTGTCTTCACAGCCACGTCAGGAAAGCAACAGTTAAGAAACAGGTGACGAAGCTGAGGATAGGACTGGACTCATTCACTGAGAACGACAGTGAAGTTTGTGAAGAGCTGCACAGGCGGTCCAAGAGGTCAACCTCACAACAGGTTCTAGGAGGTCCTGACAACAGGAGGTTCCAGGAGGTCGTCACAACAGGAGGTTCAGGGAGGTCCTCACAACAGGAGGTTCCAGGAGGTCCTCACAACAGGAGGTTCTGGGAGGTCCTTGTTGGGGAATGGGAACTTTGACTCTGATATAATATTTAATTAAGAAGATTTGAAATAGTCGAAGGACCACCCACTTTTGAGAAAAGAGGGAAAACATATAAATGAATGATAAAGCTGACACTGAAATACCAGTGCCTATGGATGATAGGTTATTTAGTAATTATTGGAAGAGCATAAATGGACTGTAATAATGATTAATTAAGAGTTAAAAATCCTCAAACTCAACATTGGGGGTATTACAAGAAATTAATATATATCTAGGAACTGGTGCTGGTTCGCCACCAGTTGATTAATTACAACACTAAAGATTGTAGAATCAGAAATTAAATGTAGATTCTATGTGATTATAATATATTGAGATAATCAAGCCTATGAAATATATTGGCAAATCATAGGAAATTACGTGTGTAAAAATTGCTACACTCTAGACAACAAATATTAAATGTAAGTGAATTATCTTAGAATCTCATAGGTATAATAAATGTAGAACACATATGTTAGAGACAATATTAGCATTAATCATAGGAAATCTACAAATCCCGTTCTCGCACTTTCTTATAGTCAATATTGACTTATTAAATACGTGCATATGTGACATACTAATTTATTGTGAATATTTTAGTTTACCTTGAAAAGCTTCATAGAAAACACCGACTTTACCTAACCTTCTGTAATTACGAAGCAATAAGATGCTTATCTTAACATACTAAGAAGGTTAGGTAAGGTCGGTGTTTTCTATGAAGCTTTTCAAGGTAAACTAAAATATTCACAATAAATTAGTATGTCACATATGCATTTATTCAATTAGTCAATATTGTCTTAAAGAAAGTGTGAGAACGGGTTGGAAGATTTCACTAAACCCATTTCCCAGTTCGAATACTCGTAGACGTGATCACATCGCCCAAACTATGGATGAAACACCGGCAGGGAAAATCGTGTTTAGAGTAAGAATTTCTCAGCTTGTCCTCAGCAACACGCTGCAATCACAGAGATATAATAATATTTAACTAGGCTAGAGAATTATTCCACTATTCATTGAGAACTTGAGAATAACGTGAAACTAACATTGGGTTTGTGGTCGGTAGATGACATAATGGAGAACTAGCTACAGTAATAATTTTAGACTAAGTGTAATCAAATCCAAAAATAATACTTAACGTAGGTTTGTTGAAACATTTACGTTTCCCGATATCACGTCTGATAGTCCCTGACGTTCACTGCTGTTGAAGGTCGATTACGGGACGTAATTATCTTCTCAGACGCGAGATCACACAGTAATTAACACTGGACGACCACGTGTTGGTAACTACAATGGCTGCCGCCTGCAGATGTGCGTGTGCTCGTGGCGGAGTCGTGTATTAAGATGCCTTCTTCATCCCCTGACGCTCGGACACGCATGCGCAGAGACGCCCAAAGCGATCTCGAGCTTAAACTAATTTGATTTACTAGTAATTATTTAGGGAAATAAGGGAGTACGACTTATACTATTGTCACGAATAAATATATTGAATAATAATACCTCTTCTCACAAGGAAATAGATTTAATTAACACTGCACAAATTAAAACGAGAAGGGTTGACGTGTATTTAATTTACGTCGCTTTAATTTTTACTGGTATAATTAATTTGGTTGAATGCTCGAGTCCAGTACGCAAAACGATTATTTCTTTCATAATGAACAATATTTTGAAAAAGAAAGGACAATTAACTGAACTCTATCAATCTCCAACAACGTAGAAGATTTCATGTTGCAGCCTAA